TGCGCACTGTAAAATGCTTGCACTCTGGAAACCCAAGTGTCTACATGTACGCGTTATCTGCTGAATACTTACATGTACTATGCAGCAAATAGTGTGTACATGGACGGGTACACATTTCGGCACATGGCTTTTGGCACAGGGCTCCTGCCCACTATGTATTTCACATTTCGAGACTTGTATGAACCTACATAGTCCTCATAAGTTCATCACACTTGTTCTAACCGGTTCGATATCATGCCAATTAGGTGTAAACTATGATCTTATCATCCTGCTTGGATGAACCTGCGTGCCATACATGATGTAGACTAATATGCATACTAGTATGGAGCTCCACAATATACACTCAATATATTGTATACCTGGGGGTGTATAGCAATGTCTGGATACTTGTACGCACTTTATTTCCAGAGTGCCTATGTATACATAGATTAGTTCGCCCTGTGAGAATTATCACCAGGTCCATGTACATATGCTGGGCGGACAGGGTCAAACATAAAACAGTGTTACTTCGAAACCTCTTCAACCCCGCTTTACCCCCCACTGCAAATTACTTACGAAGAACACACTCGTAATGCAAACCAAAACCTTCTCAGCTTACGAAGGATTTTGGAGCGTTGCATTACGAACTAATTCTTCGTGAGCTTATGAACAAATTGTTCGCAATGCAAACCGATTGTTCGTAGGAACCTCCCTAACCTTACAAAGAATCGCATTGCAATACAATTTATTTGCAATACAAACGATTTCTTTGCAATACAAAGAATGCAAATTGTTCGTAAGGTTGAAAAGCAGTTAGTTCGTTAGCATTTTACAGTGCGTCATGAGCACAGCAGTGAGATGAGGCTCTTTTGACGGCCAGTATTTATATCAAGGATAGTTCAGCCCTCGATGGCCATCTCTATCGCTTATTGGGTAAACAAGCTCTAGGTGACCCTCTATGTGTGTAAGGCTGGTAGTTGGTAGTACTCTCAAGCATTCGTACATGTAATCACACACTCGCAAATGCAAACGCAAGTGCACGCACGCACACATACACACACACACGCATGCACGCGCGCGCACACACCTGTGTCAAGGTAACGGTCGAGGAGTCTTGGTGAATGGCGAGTCCCGGTGCGGCCGCCGCCATCGTGTTGTATAATCACTTTATCCACCACTAGTGTTCACTCATACTCAGCGGAGGGGGG